CCCCGTCCCAGGCTGACCCTGGCAGGCTCCGGTGCGGATGTTGGGGATGAAGCCGCGCCTGCAGGGGTGCGGCTGCGCCGGGCACATCTCGCACGGGTGGCCCCAGGCGCGGCCGATGGTGGCACAGCACAGGGTCTTGGTGCACACGATGCCGCTCAGCTGGCCCTGGCACATCTGGTTGTTGACCTGGCTGAAGCACGGCCCCGTGCGATAGTCTGCGGCAAGGAAAGGGTTAAACCCCGGCATTAAATGTAATTAGTTAATGGGGTGGTGGGTAATGGGTGTGTGGGGTGATGTCGTTGTTGATGTAGTTAATATCGGTATATTGTGTAAATATACATGTAAATCTGAATATAAATATAAATATAAATGTAAATGTAAAGGTAAATGTGAATATAAATATAAATGTAAATATAAATATAAATATAAATATAAATATAAATATAAATATAAATATAAATATAAATGTAAATGCAAAGGTAAATGTGAATATAAATATAAATGTAAATATAACTATAAATGTAACCATAAATGTAAATATAACCATAAATGTAAATATAAATATAAATGTAAATATAACTATAAACGTAACCATAAATGTAAATATAACCATAAATGTAAATATAAATCTAAATGTGAATGTGGATGTAAATGTGAATGTCAATGTAAATGTGAATGTAAATATCAGTATTATTAATAGAAATACCTATTAATTTATAATAAATATATATTAACATAATATTATATACTATATGCTATATACTACATGCTATTTACTATATACTATATAGGATAATATAAGATATAAGAAAGCTATGATATATCATATAGTATACATTATATATTACATTTTATATTTTATAAGTATATCATATATACGTTATATAATATATAATAAATATATATTAATATAAGTATTATTTATAATGTAATAAGTTATTAAATTATGTTGTTATTATATAATATACATTATATTAAAATATAATAATACAATATTATATACATGTATATACATATATATATTTTTAATACAAATGATACATTATACTGGGGCTTTCAGGGATGAGAAAAGCAATTAGATTTAACTTTAATTGCAAAGATCCCTGCCTGGAGGGAGCTGGGAACACCCTGGGATAGGGGAAGGAAAGAGCAGGCAGGGGAATTCCGTGATTTTTATGTTCCCTTCCATCCCAAACCAGTCTGGGATTCTGGAATTCTTGGACTCTGAGATTCTGGAATTCTCCAACTCCGAGATTCTGGAATTTTTAGACTCGGATTCTGGAATTCTCAAACTCTGGGATTCTCAGATTCAGATTCTGGAATTCTCAGATTCTGGGATTCTGGAATTCTCCAACTCTGGGATTCTGGAATTCTTGGACTCTGAGATTCTGGAATTCTCAAACTCTGGAATTCTCAGACTCTGAGATTCTGGAATTCTCACACTCTGGGATTCTGGAATTTTCAACCTCTGGGATTGTGGAATTCTCAGCCTCCATCTCACCATTCATTTCTCCATTTTAACTCTCCACCATCTCCTGGCAATTCCACCTTTAAACCCCAGACCCTGCAGGAACACCCAGCAGCTTCCCCATTCCCAATCAGGATCCTCCCATCCCTTAAACCCCAAAGGATTTGAACCCAAATTTTTTTTTTTTTGCAAGATTTTTATGGGATTTTTGCCACTGCCTGGGCTGCCGTGACCCTCGAGGAGGGATTTTGGCACAGCAGGAATCAAAATCTTTCCCTGGGATTTTTTCCTTCAGCTGGGCAGAGGTGATGGCATTGAAATTTTTGATCTGTGGCTGGGACAAAAAAAAAAAATAAAATAAAAAAATAAATGAAATAAAGGTTGGAGCACGTCCTGGTGAGCCCAGAAAATTCCCCCTGAAGTGTCTGAGCTGTCAGGTGCTGGTCAGAGCCTGGCTGAGCTGGGCTCAGGGAATTGCCAGGCTGGAATTAAACAGGAATTAAAAACTGCCCTGACCCCAATTCCCTGCTCCAGGATTAACCCCTGCAGGGAAAGGTTTGGGTTTGATGAGTGAAGGAACAAAAAAAAATCCCGTGTGGAGGGAGGGGGGTGAGAAAAAAAATCCATGGAAAACACCCAGGAAATGCTCCTGCCTGGGAAGGAATCAATTAGCAAAGAATTCCTCATTTCCAGCTTAATCCTCCCTCTGATTTGTGCTCTGGAGCAGTTCAGACTTGAAAATCAAAGCTGAGAAAATTGGGCTGTGGATGGAAAATTGGGATTCACCAGGAGGTCGAGAGGGAGGGGAAAAAAAAAGGAATGGTTTGGAAGTTACATCGGTGTGAAGTGATGGCATCTCCCAAAAAAAGCTTTTTGGGAATCTGACCAGAAACAAGAACCGTGGGGAGTTAGCAA